TTTCAACAATATACTGCTCAAACTCACCAGCGACAATATATAATAAGAGCCATGGCAGATTTTTCATTGAGTTCCTTGAGCGATACCAATCCATTCTTCACCTTTAATTAAAGACGTTTAATTAACATTTGAATATCTCCAGGGTATGTATCGCTACGGCTTTGGCTTTTGACATGTACTATATACAGTACATACATGATATATCCAACACTACATGTAAGTCCTTTTCCTGCTAAAAATATCCTTGGATGCATCAAAGAGAACAAGGGAACTGGCAGTCTTAAGTGGTTGTTTCGATACCTCAAATGCATTCCTTCCATAAATTTGGTATCCTTCTGAAGGAGTTGGTCATGTATGACATGTTTAGATAAGTACTAAAGGGAGTGGTTTGTTGGGTTTCTCCATGTGTGCCGAACTGGGCTTGTAATGTATCCCTCCTCAATTAAAAAACCACTGTAATGTAATACCATAAGCTGCTGATTTTAAAGGTTTACAAGTTATCTATTAACTTTGATTTATACCCTTCACTGATGGAATACAACATTTTTTCACATGAATTACATGATCAACTTACATTTTGGTATGATGGTGTTTGAAGCTTTAATAGTTCATTGAAAAACAGGTTTTGCCAGTGCAATGACAAACTAGAAAAAAAAAAAGCTCACACTCATACTGTAATATATTGAGGCAAGGACAAGTATGTCAATTAATGCATTTAAGAATGAGTGGGTAGGCGGTGATCGTTGGATGGATTAATCACTGGATGGAAGAAGGATGCCAATAAATATCATTGGGATAAACAGTAATAGCTTTATTACATTCAAAATTTGTTTCATCAGACCAATTTTTTCCCTTTTTTGAGCCCTGGGCCGGGTTGTTAAAAGCTGGATTAGCGCTAATCCAGGATTAACTCTATAGGTCTTATTAAGAGTTAACACAGGATTAGCGCTAATCGGGCTTTGAACAACTGGGCACAATACAGCGCCTTTCATAATCACCAAATTTGGTGCCAGCCCAAAACATGGATTTTGGCTTCTGTCAATCAAACTCATGGAAACAAATGAATGAAATCTAAGCGGATAGAACAAATACGAATACTTATGATCTATATCTAGATTAAACTTCCTAAGGCTCCCAGTTGGCCAAGAGTTTGTGCAAGAAATTGCAAAGTTTATGATCAGTTCGCATCAGCATGGCTTTTGTGAAAGTGATGAAACTACATAGAGAAATGAAAATTGTGTTATGGTGCAGCCGTTTGAGCATAACCTAGTAGACCAAAATCCATCCAGAACATTTTCCTTTGAACACTATAATGTAAGGTTATATCCCGTAGTATTGCGATTCACTACATAGTTTCATATATTTTTGAGACGACAATATTTTGTGGTATTGTCGTTTCAAACAGGTTTCTGATTGGATAACGTCTGACTAAAAGGAAAGCTTGAGCATGCGTGCGTCAAWTTTTTATTATGCTTGTTGCTTGTGGCATAGAGCGCGCTTGTAAGGAGAATTTCGCTTTTGATTAAGGAAAAACTTTGACCTGCCATTGTTTTTTTTTAATACACATATTTTGGACTGGTGACACAAATTTTGAACTGTCATTCATTTTTATGACCTGCCACATGAAATAGACAAGACTTTCCACAAAATAAAATTATACGATTTTTAGACTCGTGAATCAATTTTCTGAGCAGACATTTGTTCTCTCAGAGTATCAACATTAAAAAAGTGAAATGATATGTACACAGTCATGTTGTCCACAAATTAAACAGATTGTCGTAATGTGGAGAACTATGCCAAGGCAACTTTTTCAACCAATAATATTTTTGAATGAAGGAGATTCAGTGGTGAATAGGAATAATTGCCATATAATTAATAAAAATATAGTGAAAGATGATGTCCAGTAAATTTAGCCTCCATTTCTATTATCTATTTGGCAGTTCATAATTTCATTAAGCAGGTCTGTTTTCAAACGTACCCTGCTATAAATTAAACTAAATTACAATACATTAAATACCTATAATTAATAATAAAAATTACAATTACTGCTTAACAGTAACCCTGTGACCACCTCATGGATGTATGTACAGTATGGTCCAAGGATGAATGAATGAATTGATGAGCGAATGAATACAAAGCCATTACCTTTCTTCAAAGGCTTCAAGGTTCCATTTCAAGTAGAAGCCAACCTGTAGTGCCAACTCCTTCAGGCGTTTTCCACGCTTATTATCAACTGATGGGGCAGCATCAGATGTTTGCTGTGTTAAATGGATAATAACATACATGAAAAAATTACTCAATTCTGATTGGCTTAGAGCAGTGTTGTTAAAACATAATTCAGTGCAAAAAAAGTGTAATTCAGTGTAATATGAAGAGTTTTAATGTATGTTTTTATATGAACCGTATTTTTACCACAATCAAAATAAGAAAATAAATGCTTTGGTACAGTAGCAACAGAAAGAAAATAAGCTGGAGATATATTAAGTTTAATTCACTAAACTATTCAAATTTGTGAGAACATGAACAACAAAGCCGAATGTGTCAGTTTAAAAAATAATTCTCTTACAATGTATTATTATCAATTTTATTAAAAGATCGCATATTCCTTTCATATTTAATGATGGCTTCAGTTCTTTAATGAAGAACATTTCATGAATATCAGGTTGAGTGAAATTTATCTCTCCCCCATTAGGCACACTGGAGCTTGCTAATTTTTCTCAATATTTTGTCTGCATTTCTGGATATATTTTGCAACAGGCCTAAACTCATTTAAGCTCCAAGGCCAAAATTTATCTATAAAATTNTCTATTATCCATTTGGCAGCTCATAATTTCATTTACCAGGGCTATTTCAAAGCCTGCTATAAATTATACTAAATTACAATACTTTAAATACTGGTAAATAATAGTAAAAATTACGATAAAGTGCTCAGCTTCTCATCAATCCCATATAGGTAACTGTCAAATTATTTTCTTAATTGGACAGGTCTTGTTGATATGGGATTAATTAGGCAGCTATATAATTAGTAGGTAATGGGATTTCATGCTTCCCAATCAAGAAATAATTAGACTTAATTAATTATTTCTTAATTGGACAGCATGGAGTCGACAATGATGGATCCATTTTACATAAMATAAAGTACAACCCTGCGACCACCTCGTGGATCTATGTACGGTATGGTCCAAGGATGAATGAATGAATTGATGAGCGAATGAATACAAAGCCATTACCTTTCTTCAAAGGCTTTAAGGTTCCATTTCAAGTAGAAGCCAACCTGTAGTGCCAACTGACCTTCAGACGTTTTCCATGCTTATTATCAACTGATGGAGCAGCATCATATGTTTGCTGTGGTAAAAGAATAATAACATACATGAAAAAATTACTCAATTCTGATTGGCTTAGAGCAGTGTTGTTAAAACATAATTCAGTGTAATATGAAGAGTTTTAAWGTATGTTTTTATATGAACCGTATTTTTACCACAATGAAAACAAGAAAATAAATGCTTTTGTAGCAACAGAGAGAAAATAAGCTGGAGATTATTAAGCTTAATTCCCTAAACTATTCAAATTTGCGAGAACCTGAACAACAAAACCAAAAGTGTCGGTTTAAAAAATAATTCTCTTACAATGTATTATTATTTATTATCAAACTCATTAATAATTCATGAGGAAAACACAATAGAAATCATGACCATGAAGAGTTCTGTAAATCAGATACAGAATCGTGTTCATTTGCATAAACTTTAACTTGGATTTTCTTGGGCAGATTCACTTTAATTTTGAAAATTTTAGTGAAACACAAAGGAACTAACCTAGACGTTTGATAAGCAATCTACAGTATT